TGATTGTTAGGATGTTAATGATCGAATTAAATGACGTTTATATTCATTGGACTTGAAAATAACGAGAGTTAAACAATAGGGTACTTGTAGTGTTAATCTAGAATAATTTGGCATCTTGGGTCTCATTATGGAATTATGGATCGCGTTTAATATTAGATGGTAATATAGGTTTCTTTCTGACTATAGGTGAAAAGGAGACTTGACATACACCCTGTAGAAAGTTCACACACAAAGGCAAAAAAGTAAGCAAAAATCAATTTACAACTACAATACAAGAACATAGTATTCGTGAAATATTCTCTATAGAGTAGTGTTGTAATATTTATATAACTTTGATAAAGAGTTCATTGTATATCACATGATGGTTATGATGAGTTTGGGGTTTCAAAACATATTAACATCTATTTTGGTGAAATATGCCATTCACGAGCATTTGTACATACATGCACAACATATGTCCTTCGTTAAAAATCTAGCATGTGCGATATGATTGCAAAAATTAATTTATATTATAAAATGTTTTATTGACCACTATTAGGGCACAAAGGCATGCGACGTATGCTTATGTAATATGTTTTAACATCGTGGGCAAGACTTCCTAGGTGATCATAAGGGTAGATAAGGGATATGCCTTTGGTGATCACAAGAGGGCGGACTACTTAACCCTTCCTTTGTGATATTATGATTATTGACGTTGCAGGTGGGATACTTTTTGGATGATCATAGGGGCTATTAGGAGATGTACTACTAGTCACAAGAAGATGTTCCACTTGACTGTATTGATATCATATTGGCCATTTAATTATTGATATTGTGTATAGCTTTATCCGATGCATGTCCAGGGCCCAATGAAAGGAAAAAAATTCAAATGCCATCATTTTGAGCTGACTTTGATAAATATTTGAATAAAGCATTTTTTATATAATGTATTAAAGAAAATGACATGGTGTCATATGCTCTTATTACTCATACTGATGGCATGCATGATTTTTACTTATTGAGCATTAGCTTATTGAGTTTTGCATTACAGGTGAGTATAGAATTTCATAGAAGACATGGATAGCTGCGAAGCTCTTACGGAATTCCGAAGTTCAATGTATATGGATGACAACCTGTAGGGTTATTTTATAGGTGGTTGCTTGGTCTTACAATCTGTTGCATTATATTCGTAGGGATCATGTATTGCATATGCACAACTTTTGAAATGGTATAGTTGATACGTTTGTACCCTCAAAGTAAATATGTTGAAATTTGGTTATATAGTATTTTGTCTTAATATGCTATATGATCATTATAGGTGATCAGGTGAGAATATATGAGAACATTATTATGAGGATGCTTATTTCATTTTATCATGTCAAATAATAATAATAATACTGTGCAATCATATGTATAGGTCGAGTCGTCAAATTTTTAATAATAATAATAATAATAATAATATTGTGCAAAGTTATAATTCTGTAGATTGTCCATGTACACGATCTCAGAGTATGAAAGAGCATAGCTACGCCAATAAATTTTATTTGTTATATTACTGTTTGCATGTTTCATAAATAATATTGGCCAATCTTTATTACGATTGTTTTGTAAACAGTTATTGCAATCATGGTAAGAATTAAAGGTGAATAGAGAAGCTAGAACCCCAAGACAAGAGGCAAGTGCCGTAGATAATAATAGGGATGTGGTTATTGATAAACTTACGGAACAATCACAAAAAACTTAGCAATTAATGCAATAAAGAGAAATAAGAAGACAACAAAGAGATAGATTTGTACGACTATAAGCAGTTTGAGACAATTGGGGAAAGATTTAAAAAGCTCTCCAATATTTGTGGATGCACTAGACCCAACAATAGCAGAGGATTGATTAAGAACTTTAGAAAATATGCAGATACAATAGAATTTCAAAGGTAGAGTTTTGAACATCATTTCTGTTACGAGGTAATGTTGGACACTAGTGGGACATCATGAGCACCATAGAAGATATTAATGCTATGACTTGGGATAGATT